ACAACCACCAACACCAACACCTTGCCCTAAGCCATGTCCACCAGGCTGTTGTTGTATTATTTGTATACATACAAAGGTACAACCAGCACCCACACCACCCTCGCCWTSSCCACCTTGCCCTTATAATAGATGTCCACCAGGATGTTGTTATTGTCAAGTCCAAGTGACGGTTAACGACATAACCCAACCTAATTGCTCCATCATGTAATATTCTCAACTGGGGGGTTGTTCTGTTCACTTGTATAATCGTAGTGGTGGAGGAGGAGGTGGTGGTTGTGGTTGTGGCGGCGGTGGTTGTGACGGTGGGATGTCTGTAATGTACCTGTTTTTTTTTTTGTTTATGTTGTAACATTTTACTTGAATAATGTGCCATTTATAGCTGGACATGTGATGAGAGAATAAATCATTGATATATAGGTCAAGTAAGTAATTTTCTAATATGATTGATAATCACACAGCATTTAATAATCGCAGTTCTCTTTTGACTTTTTGCCGCTTTATAACACCGCCGGTTGATTGGTTCTAAGTTYTCTGGCTATGATGCCGGAAAATATTGGAATTTGATCCGAGTCGAGTGTGATCTGAAACCATCAAACGACAAAGTTCGACTCAAACCAGATATCATTAGCAGATCAAATTCAGATCAAGGGATACCCATTTCGATTCCTGTCGCTGCATGTTGCTTTCTACGCATACACTACTCTTCCTCTCTAATCTATTTGCAATTATAAAAGCCCCAGACCCCASTGTTTGGTCGGTAGGATCACTACAACAAATTTCGATTATATCGGTGACGTTTTTCTAAATGCCATTATAGATCATCTTTAATGGCGTATTTTAAAAATGCCACCAGTACCAGACACGTTTTAATTTGTCGCTAAAATATAATATGAACGCCATTATCATGGTTTTTAAAACCCAACTGGTGATTGAACCGGTCAGGGGTTCGCTTATTGGTTCGAACGGTCCGACCGTTCGATCCAAACACCCGGCCCGTTCTGATAAAAACATTAAAAAAAATTTAAAAATTTAAAAAACGGTCAAAATTATTCGAACGATTCGAACTATTAACTGGACGGTTCAGCGGTTTGTTGACTAAAATCAATGGTTTTGGAGAAAAACGGACCGGTTCCCAATTTTCTGGTCCGATTTTGAAAACCATGTATTGGTGGACAACCCGGTTCCCCGTCTGTTATGTGATTTTGGAATCTTCATCTTCTTCTCGTCGTGGTGAACAGGGTTGACGAACCAGGATCGCTGACTGTTTGTTGGAGGAGAAGAAAACAAAAAATTAGAATACAAAAAGAACAAAAGGAACGAAGAAAAGGGAGAAGGAAAGATGGGAAGACGGGGGGAATTAGCAGCGGTGGTCATTACTGCCGTTGCTCACAAAGTACAGTGGGTGTGCCCCATGTAAAAATGAAACAAAAGAGAAAAAATTTTCTCTAATCCTAAGTGTGCCCTTTCTAAATATTAATAAAAAATGATTGGTCCCCCAACCGCTGTTTTTCATCTTCCCTCCAAAAACTCGACCCTATTTTAAGTTTTTTATATTTATATTTTTCTGTTTTCACTCTCTCTCTCTCTATCTCTCCAGAATTCTAATCATTTATATAAAAAACTAAAATATTAAGATGGTTTATTTATAAATTTATTTTATTGCTTTTAAAGTTTGTTATCATTTACATTTATTGATTTATCATGTTTTACTATTTTGTATTTATTTTACAGTATTTTGAACTTTTATTTTGTATTTTCAAATAATATTACATGATCTTTTCTATATTTCTTTATTTTTAATTACTATTATTTTTTAATATCTTTTGTGTTAACATTTTTATTATATTTATAATACTTTTTACTATTTTATCTTTCTTAAATTTATTTTTAACTATTAATGATATTATTTATTATTTATTATTTTATAATATTAATCTTTTATTATTCTTTTTAATATCATTTATTGGACTTTATTTTTTTATATATTTTATTGTATCAATATTCATAGTATTTTATCTTTTTATATTATTTTATAATAATTTTTATATTGCCGTATTATTTTAATAATTTTAATTTATTTTTATTTAAAGAATAACTTGAGGGGTAAATTTATAAATTGCATAATTTTCAGATATCACAACATTCAAATTGCTGAAGAACTCCACTATATTCAGATGTTTACAAAAGCAGAAAGACACATTTTCCACAATGCTTTCAGAGGTTTTTTAGTGTTTTTTTGTTTTCCAAACTTCAGGCTTTAGATTTACCAAATGCCACCTTTGTTGCCTTATAAGCAACATGACTTAGGCTGTGTTTGTAAATGATACAAATATGTAGAGTGTAAAACGGTTCATATAAAATGCAAAGTTAGGTTAGTTTTGCAATAACAAATTCACCTTCTTACCAAACAGACTTTTAGCTGTAATGGATGCAAACATGAATTTCAATAAAATATATGTTTTTTTTCTTTCAAAAGCCCACTTGAATGCAAATTTACTTCTTTTTTATTGATGTACTTTTACATCTTATTATCAATGTAAATATGCATAAATGTAATGTTGTCAAACATAGGCAAAAGTTAACCAGAGTGCAAATTTACCCTGGACCGGTCTTTTGATGGAAAAAGAAAAAAAGTGAAAAGAACAGAACTCTCAATTAACACCAGCTTCAGCTA